AAAAAAGTGCTAGACAAAGATGGTGCGAGACGGCAGGCAAGCTGCTGCTGCATGTTACACTCTCAACGGTCCTGATACAACATCTGACAGACCCTTGAAGAAGAACACCCTCGAGCGGCTTGAAACTCAGACCGCTGCCTTGTTTGAACGAATAAGACTTGCAATCCTCGAAGAGGGAGAAGGAGCATTGTATGATAGTGAAATAGTCTTGCTCGATGCTGATGAGGACGATCCGCAACGGATCGAGCGGGATCGCCAGATCAACCGAGCTTATACCGCTTGGTTTGTTAGCACTCAGGCCCCTGCTCAAACTTTTGGTGCCCATAGTTTTGGGTTTTTGGCATTAGACTTGCTATTGGCAAGATTATGAAATAACAGAAGCAAGTCACCAGTCTTCTTTTGTCAAATCAAAATTTTACCATCTGGATAATTTCCTTTCCCGAGTTTCTTAAAACATAATTGACGCCCGCCAACAATCACACGGATCATACACAAGACCTTTGGCCCAATAATCCTTTGCTTTATCTTCTACCTTCTCGGAATGTTTCTCTTATCTCCCTTTCCATTCTTGATCAATTTCCTTCCTAGATTTCGTCAATTTATACTGCTATAATATACCATGTTGAAGTACTGTGTCATCTGCGTCCTTTTACGTCTCGCCGTGATGGCATCAACGAAAGACTCTCTCACATTAGGGTGTTTTTATACTCGCGGTGAATATATGTATCTATATGTGTACGTGTGTTGATGCATGTAGTTTGGAAGGCTCTGGTGCCCATGTTAGACATTTGTTTTGTTCTTTCATTGGATTGAAAGTGTTCAAGGATGGAACACTTTAGAACCCATTGTAATAAGATGAAATGTGTGGCCTACTCCTGGGCAAACCTTGTTCCTTAAGTAAAAATCACCATGATATTCTAACTTTGCTCTCTATGACTGGTGTGGCATTGGCATGTTACACACAGTCATGATACTCGAGGCTCATCTGGTTGTTTGATTGGCTACAATCCAAGAAGAGACCACTTGGTCACATCTCAGAGAAGTATTCTGGCACCTTTTAGCAGGGTATCTTCAATTTTGATTCCACATCACAGCTTGCAATGAGAATTGAACTAAACTATGTCCACAATCATCAAACACAAACTGCTTCAAAGCTCTGATGACTGTACTGTCACCTAAATTGTTACTTGATTTGTAGCAACTGAAGATCCTCCACTTGAAGTATTCAGTTTAGTATACATACATACTAGTATAATCTCAGACAGCTTGATCACAACTAATCTTTACACCAGTGATAGAGAAGTTTGGAACAAAATTATACAGTCACTTCTATTTTACTCTCATTGTGAAATTTACGAGCTGGGAACATCAAAAAATATCTTCGAGGCTTTTAAAACTTTTTGTTTGAAGAAAGTTCATGATACAGATCTGGTTTGATGTATAAATGGCTGAAAGTTTTCTGAATCATGGGCTGGAATCCGGAATGAGAGACTCATTCACCATATTGCTTTAACCTGCTCATCATTTAATTCCTCAAATGAAAAGAGATATTTCTATTAAACTTCAATCTACCTTTATCATACTTCATTCTCTGTTGTGTTTACTAGTCATTTTCTTTCTGAAGATGTTTGTTTGAGTGGTGCGTGCGTGAATATCAATAAAGATGTATGGTGTCATCTTTGCACGAGTTCCATGTTTGTTTGTGATCACAGTGGTGCCAGAGTTGTTCCAGGAGTTACAATATGTATATCCACCTACAGCTACCAAGAGGCAGC